TTTTTTTCCTGTTCATATTATTGAATAGGAATGTAGCATGCTGTTTATGACTCATAGACTTCATATTGCAGACACTGTGGGGGATATTTTAACTTCTAAAAACAGTCTTGCTGCTTTAGTGTCAATATTGATTTTCATGCAGCTTAAAATTAACCCAGTAAAAAGCAAGTCTCCGCAGTGAATGGTTTCTCTAAACCTTAGAGTACCATCTGTTTTACCATCCATTAAGTACTAACTGAATACATTTGTCTTTTGCATACATTTAAATAAAACTGTTCATGTAGTGGTAAGGCTTGATAATGTATCACTGTGAACATTGTTGATGTAAGAACCATTAAGATTATAAGCAGAAATTAATTTATTATTATTATTTATTTAATTAATTTAACAGAAACTGGGAGCTTTTCCAATCCCCTCAGTGTTCTTTGGGTAGATTGGTGAGTAGAGCTATTCTGTGGGGGGAAAAAAATCTCATTAATTTCCTCAATAGATGTTTGATGACTCTCAGTCGGAGGAACTAGATGGCTTTGATAGACCCTAAACCCTCCCAGATTGACAGTTGTGATGTCTGGTTCTTTTACAAACAGCACAAAAGTGCGAGTCTGTCTGTGTAGACCAAACATTAGCTTGAGTTTACTAAGACTCCCAATGAAGACATCACCAAAAACAATTCAGTTTTATGGGCCACTTTCAATAAAAGACAAGATGGAGAATTCACTGTTGGGAAAAAACAATGTCACAACAACACGACTCACTCTATCATGGTTTTAGCTCACAGCTGTGAAGTCGAAACATTAAACTAGCTCCTACTCTGATTTCATCCTGGCTTTTTGAAGGCTCATGGGAGTTGTAGTTTTTATTGCCATCTAGAAAATTATGTAAAAAAAACAAAATAGATACTGACTGACTAAATCTAATAATTATTGAAACTGATGGACACGGGAACCTGTAGGATTGTAACTCTGTATGTGAAGCCTGGAATTTATGATTTAATTCCAATGAAAGTTTGAATGGGAATCCAGAATTAGAAAATTATTTTATTATGTAACAGCTTTGTGCTATGTTTTACATTTGCATACATCAAGGCACGCAAAGGCTGGAAATTCCATGTAGTGGCTACTACAGTTGGGTTGGGACAAAATGTTGATGTGTCAATATACATGTCGTCATCCTGACTGGTGTGATAGAATTCTTGTGTCGCTGATGCCAAAGAAAGACATTTTAATTAAAAAAGTTGCAGCTCTCTAAACAGATTTTCCTGCCAATTTGACTCATTGTGCCACATCTTCATATTGTTAACTATGAAATGAATAGCAAAGCAGAGGAAGGCCATTATAGCATGATAGTAAGCCAACTCAGTAGTAGTAAAAAAGCAAAATAAATTCTATCTGAAGTAGGTTTTTGAATATTTAAGCAAGTTCATTGTCTCAGAGGTTTGATGGATGCTCAATGAGACGCTCAGTTTATCTTTATACATGCATTTCAATATTTCAAGCCTAATTTCCTGAGACTTTAACAGGCTTAGACTTGCAGAATGGCGAACAAAAGTTTACTAGTCCCTCACGTAGCTCCCTGATCCTCTAACCTTTGCCTCTCTTTGGTGCAGGTGCGAGGACCCTCTCCTGCTCTTCCTCTTCCTCCTCTAACCATCCCTCATTTCCCTGTCAGTCTGCTCAAGCAAACAAACTGAACCCCCCCCCAGAAAAATCATCCATAGTTGCATCCCATCCCAATCCCCGTCCCTCTCCTCGTTTGCTGCACCAGCCTGCCTCTTCTCCTTCTCCTCCTCCTCCTCCTCCTCCTCCTCCTCTTCTTCTTCTTCTCCTCTCTGCCCCTTCTCCTCCCTCTATGTGAGTATAACTCATGACTACCAGCATGTGGAACCTGTGTTTTGTGGCACAAGCATGGGGTGTTGTGGGTGTTTGTTGGGCTTGTGTGTGGGACTCATCAGTGATTTCTGTACTGCACTGTTCTGAAGTACTGCATAATAGCCTTCATTTCCATGCGGATGATTCTGCAAATTCATAACCACATTAGCATCGATGCAATCAGCGAGTCACTCTCTTCTTATGCATGGTAGCTCTGCCTATGTTTGTACCACACGTTGCTGGTGGTGAGCACTTGTTTTTGTCCCACATACCTTCGCCAAAATAGAAAAGTTGTGCCTATCAAGATGTGATATTTCTGTGTCAGTGGAGGTTCCACCTGAACAGTTAAGTTGTCAGAGCAGAGGCAGAAGTACCCCATGATTTACCTGTTATACACTCACTGTTTTATTTCAGAGTTTGTGTTATACTGTGTATATACTGTTAAACTGTGTGCGTGTTTTACTTCACTGGGTCTACCCATAAAAGAACCTTCCAAATAGAGTTTGTACTCAACAAAGACTTATAGATAAGAGGTGGAGAGCAGCATAGGGAAATATACAATTCTGTTACCTGTGCAAAAACAGGTAAAACCCTACATCCAATAAGACAAAAAATATACTGTAAATAAAACCAGATAATAAAGAATACATTAATATGGATCATGAAAAAAAGACAATATGGACTTTGTGGACTTTAATGCTATGTTTATAGCTATCTTGTAACTTATTCTCTGATGTCAGAGCTTTCCATCTTGAATTATAAAATACACGTTTAGGTTTGAAATCATCTATTTAGAATAAAAAAGAAACTGATGGATTACTTACAGTTTCACAAGAACATTTTTAATGGTTATCAAGTTAAACCTCACATTGAGATTGAGGATGGCGCCAAGGAGGTTTTGTCCTGTTTCGTTTATTTACATACCCACTCTCTCCCACTAGACTCGACTTTTCATCCAACCCAATAGTCACTAAATATAAAGGCTTTGTCAGGTTTTCTTTGATATCAGTATTTTCTGTTTAATGTGTAATTTTCCACTTTAAGAAATTTCCACTCACCATCATTTTGCACGTCCTGGAACACGGTACAGCTCCTCCATTGTACCTATATGTTTTCAGTTTTATATGGTTTATTTTAAATATTTTCTTTCTTATTCTACTGTAGTTCTGTGACAGTAGGAGTTTTGCTGTTAAATAGCCTTTTCATTGATTGAATCAAAAAACTTAATAAAGTGAAGCCAGTGTCTGCTTATAGATCACAATAGAGGAAAGCATTCAGATGTACTTTTTAGCAGGAAAATGAAGTACACGTGAGCTGTCATAAGAGCAGCCTGACTTCAACCAGCTCCTAATGATTCCCTTTAGTGAGACTACTTGTACAGCATCATGGATTAATGAGCACTGGAAGATTTGAGTGCTGTGGTATATATTGAAGATTAAAGAAGCAAGATGAATAGAGAGACAAAGATTTAAGACAGTGTTAAAAAAAAAGAAAAGAGAAGCGTTAGAAGAACTGAAAGAATATGGCACTGCAGAAGGAGATAAGTCAGTGAGGTGGAGAGGAGCGTTAGTGTGACAGACAACAGGAGTGCTGACTCGAAGTTATGATAACGAGGTGGCCTGCTCCTTGATTCAGCCGCAAATTCAGCTCCGCAGCTCGACAGAGCATGTAATACCACAGAAGAAGAAGCAACGGCAGCTTAAACAAACACTTTTATAGGAGAGAAGAGAATTCAAGTATCCGACTCTTAGCAGCGCTATGTGGACTACTTTATCACTCATTGTCACTCTCATTATGTAATTTCCTGAAATTTAACAAAAACATGTTTCCTGAAAAATAATTTGTTGTTTGCAAAGTTGGGAAGCAGAGACATCCCAAAAATGATAAATAAATACATTTACAGCAAAGTCAGTGAAGATGAATGATAATATTGGTGGAAGTGGACTGCATATATCCAACACCTGCTGGAATGCTTGTGGACAAAACTCCCGTGCCTATCGGTTCTGCATGTTTTTGCAGAATCTATAAATAGACATTAGGCCTCTGGGAACTATACCAGAATTCATGTCACTCAATCCAATGGTTTTTCAAAACATTTGACTTAAAATAATTACCATTGGCTGCATTGTGTCACTTAAGAAAAGTGGTGTGATCTTCAAAGTCAGTAGGCTTCTTCCAATGAGGACCATGAACCTAAAGACATTTCACAGCCAAACATTTGGAGATGTTTTAGTTTTCACCACAGTGGTTGACCCATTAGACCACCCTATTTGCCATTCTTAGAGACATTGCTGCTACCATTGTTAAAATAACTTTTATTTTTTCACACTTGGGGTCAGAGTTCAACTCTGCTTTAAGCCCACAGTGCTGCTTGGGCCATTAGTTATCAGGGAAAACAGTGGATAATCATCTCTGGAGACAGATTCTCTGCACCATTACCGCAAGGCTGTCATTACTGTATCAGCCATCCTACAGAAGCAGAGACAGTAAATACATCAACAAGTCACATAAGTTCATTATAGAGACCAGGAATCAACCACAGACCGGATCGCACAGGGGAACGAAGTTAGCCAGCCACCAGTACAATACAGTTGGGAGGAGTCAGGGAGGAAGTGAGGCTTGTTAGCGGCTATGTGTCAGGGCTAATTTTCCAGGAGGATGGCTACGATTGTGTGTGGTTGTGCTCACTGGTGCCTGTTGAGGCCTTTCTGTGGTACAATCAAGGAGGCTGTGATGGAGCTATTTCTGGTGTGTGGAGGGGGGGGGGAGGGAGAGAGGGAGTCTGCAGCTCTTTCCTCGCTTCCTTTCCACCCACTCTTTTTAGAAAAAAATCTTTTGGTTCTCTTTCTTTCCCTGTCCTTCTATTTTCACAACAGCGGAGCTGTGGGATGTAGATAAGTCCCTAGAGAGCTAAAGCAACAGGGAGCCAGAGAGAAAAGAGAGTTTAAGTCACAGTATGCTGAGCTAATGGGGTATAATGTGACTGATGGAGAGGAAAACAAGCTTGAGGCACAAAAATAAATGTTGAATTTAAATGAGCACATTTAAGGGAATTAAATTGAACTCTCTAAATGTTAAAAAACTGAAGACTTTTGTAAGACTTCACTAAACAGTATGTTCTCTCCTTGGCAGGTGTAAACAGAAGATTCCCAAACTAGACCCGCCTCCGCCCTCCTTGAACCGCAAACGTGCCAGCAGGACGTTGTCTCCGGGCTTGGAGGTCTCGGCCGCGTCCACCCCTGGAGATGTCACCGCTAACGAAGCCGCACCCAGCCGCAGCAGCAGCCTGTCGTTCCCAGACATCACCCCCAGCTCCTTATCCTCTACCGACTTCCACTCCCTCAGCAATGGCGAGAGCAGCTCCTGCTCGGCCAGCGAGGACTCGGGCGTTCGCTCTGAGACCAAGTCCTTGCTGTCGCAGCTGAGAGATGATGACGACCCATTCGGGGACCGTGGGACATTTTTGACAGCGTCTAGTGGTTGCGACAGTCCACTGGAGGACAGATGTGAAGCAGTTTTCCCCTCCTCTGACCCACCTACCCTCTTCTCAAATTCGGACACCTGCAAGCATTCACCCACCTCCTCCTCCCCCATGAATGACACCTGCCTTCACATCAGTTTTTCAGAGGATGAGCTGCTGGAGAACAACCAAGAAGACGCTATAATCCCACAGAGGAGTTAGATGGAGACCTCCAACTGTCCCTCCGATTTTTAATGCAATACTCCCTGTCAGACCCGCCTATGTTTGCACTGGGAACTTTAATTATTTCGTCCACTTGTGATACACTACAAATAGTAGCATATACCAGCTACTGAAATTAATCCACCATGTAAATTATTAGCCAATGGAAAAGTTTAGTATTTTTGTAATGAATTAAATGATCTAATTTACTTTTTAGTGACTAGAATGTTAAGCAGAATACATGTAGCAATTCTTGCACTGTTAAGGTCACATCATTTACCGTAGAAGGAAAAGGCGATGAGGGAACACATTTTATTTTTGCTAGTAGCCAACGTATAAATGTTATTTTGTATGATGCTTCTCTGTGGTGCAAAGACCAGGGGATACACGGTAATAATGCAGATGTTAGTGATGTTGAGAAGAGCCTCGTCGTCTGTAAAGCACCTCTGTGGGTGATGGTTGGAAAGAAAAGAACAAGAAAGTCAGCTAAAGGATTAACGGAATGATGGATAGTTTTTGGTGTATACACATCCATTTGCGGCTGTGTAGTATATTATTGTTATCAAGGTCGAGTGGGTTTTAGCACGTTGTTTTTTTATTTGCTACCTCTGTTTTGGGTTTTTTCAGCGCTGTTAAAATGATCGGATAACAGAATGGATTTTGTATTCTTCAGCAATGAGTCTGTTGATGGATTCCACAATGAATTAAAAAATATTTGAGTTTTGAGAAATGGTCCAGGGAGAAAGAAAGCCATTGAAAAAAGACACAAAGAGCTAATGGCCCTTTAGAGCTGTGGGCAGCAGCTGTCTGAGTAGGGAGACTGTTATTAAATGAACCCTTGGACTCAATGGGAAGATAAGTGGGGGAGCACAGAGGACCGTAGAGAAAGACAGTGTGGTAGAAACCACAAATGTCTATATCTTATTCTTTTTTTTTTTTTGCTACAGTTTTTTAGTAAGTTACTTACAAAAGAGATAAAGTATGGAAATAATGTGTAGCCTTCAGGGGCTTAAACATGTAGAGGTTTACATGTTTATATTTTTTGGCATGCATGTGATAAGACTGTTCTGAGACATGTTTTTTTTTTTTTCATATTAAGCGTAACAGTGTAACTTCTGACAGGTAGAATTGAGTGTAGATGGCCGTGAGAGGAAAAGCAGCAGAGGAGTAAGGAAGGAGGGGGGTAGAGGTGCAGGTGCGGGTGTGAAATGCCAACAGGAAAAGCACTTTACACCCCCCAGAAATGAGGCTTTTCTCAACATCTTGTGAGTCAGGGAGCCAAAACAGCAATAACACGTGGAAGAGAACAAATAAAGAGGAGTAGTTGAAGAATTAAAGTGTGTCGACTTTCCTTTTGTAACTTCAAACTCACACAATATAACCTTAATGTGATCTTGCACACAAAATGAGAAAACAATGCATTTATTGCTCTTCAAAGAAACCGTTTTTTTCAATTCACGGATTAGGGTTAGCAGCATTGTGAATACTTTAAAGTGCTGTGTATGAATGAACAGGTGAGCTGAGGTCATCTTAAAAAGCAGCTCAGTCAGATTCAAACCTGTTGTGTTAAAGCGCAAAGACAAACAGTTACTTTGGAATAATTATGCCCCCCTTACGTTCACAGTTGACATTAAAAGTTGGTGTTTGTAAAACTCTTTCTGACATTTTCAAGACCATCAAGACTTTTCTGTCTTTTGCTGTTTTCTTCTCTGTTGTCCCCCGAGCGTACACATCCCGCCTCCGCAGTGTACACTGTCGCTCCGAGGCAGGAGCAGGTGACTGACAGGCTTGATGCTTTCAGGGCCTCAGTGGCCTGGAGTAATGAGAATGGAGGCAAATGGGAAATTCTGCCGCTCAGAGGTATTAGAGCTGTTATTTTCCTTGCACTGCTCTGATCTCAGGAGAACAAACATCACCTTTGGCACTGGCTAAAAAAAACAAGAATTGATGTGTGTTGTGTTTTATTTGAGGCACCTTCATGTCCTGCTTTAGCTTGGAGTTCCCCACCTGGCTGATCAATAATGCAGGATGTCTGCGCAGCTCAGGAAAGCAGAAGCGACTCCCTCGTCTCTTGTTCTTTCTCTGCAGAGACATGGCCTCCATCTGATCCTGTTCAATACCAGACTGCATCTGATCTCAGATCAATCCAACGTATCTGCAGAGAGCCGGATCACAGCTTGACGCTGACTGTTAACCCCGGCTCAGTGGCTTTACACAGCTTCTTAAAAAAGATCGTCCCTAATGAGCCCACTAATGCTGCTGAAAATCATTAGTCTTTGTACAGACAGGAGAGAACCTGTCGCTGATCAAAGCTCTGTGAATGAGGATGGTAATCACAGAAAAAAAGGTATTCACATCCCGGCACATTCTAACAGCTGCCAGAGGAAAGATAAGACCGCAGATTTAGCGGATTTTGTAATTCATTCAAGAATATCTGGGTGTTACAGTCTAATTCTGACATTGAGATCATGGTAGAAATTTGCCACTTACAAAATGAATAAACAGTTCATAATGGCTTACTCTTGATAAACTGGAGCTCCTTCTGGAGCGTTCAGATAACCATACCAAAGTGCAGTAAGATGTTATATGGTGGTACCACTGACTTTAAATATGGACAATGTGTCTCAATCTCCTCTTGTACAGAAGTGAAGCAAAAGACCCCATTTTGAGCCAAGATGTGGGCAAAGAGATCTGACTGCAGGAGCCACAGACATCACATCCCGCCCCTTCTGCTGACCCATTTAACCATGAAGACAGAAACATAATAAATGTACATTATTTTATCATTTTAACATGTTCCCCCTCTGTTAACATGGAGGGAGTATACTTTATTATCTTTACTGCAGCTAGTCAGTAGGTGGAGCTCAAAATATTTTTTGTGAAAATATTTTTTATTTGAGAAATTTCCACTTTAAGAAAAGCCCTGAAACCAAATGGCTCAGTCTTACATTTATGATATTAACTTTTTCATTTTTTAAAACCTTTTTAGACTGTTAACCAAAAACCAAAAGAGCAAATTAAGTTAAGCGTGTATTATCTTTTAATAAATCCCTTCAGTCACATGAACTTGACGTCTGCATTGGAAACTAAAAACCAAGTCAGCACATTTTGGATGAGTTTGGAATAATTAAACAAAAAAATTGAAGGAGCTTTATTTTCTTTCACACTTCGACCCAACACTTAATTTTCACTTTTTATCATATAGAAAATGATAAGGAGAATGTGGATTTGTTTTATAGTATTTATAGCATAATATTTAACACAGAAATGTTGAATTAGTTGTACAATAAACTTACACAAAAGCTTCAGACATGTAGGCAAAGAAAATTCCTCTCTGGCCCTGCACAGCTCGAGTCTTTCTTCACTATGTCATGGCTTTAGTCCGAAGATAATCATCTTAGATCTGTAAACAACAGTGTCAGGTGGTCAGATGGAGCTGGGAAAAGAAGGACACACCGTAGACAAGCAACAGGCAGAAAGAACATCGCTGTCATTGAGTTGCTTGGCCTTTTCATTTACGTAAAAGTCTTAGACAGAGGACAAGCCCTTCCATTTTCCATGTGACATTTAGATTTTACTGACATTTCACCTCTTTTCTTTTATTACAGCAGCGAGTGTATTTAATGGTGATGTTATTCTTCCTACCCTCTTCTTACATATACTACCTAAATGCTCACAAAAACACTCAGTTTCCCTCTTCTGTGTTTGTCAATCCTTTTTATTAGCTTGTAACACACACACTACCGGGGTAGACGGGCATTAAGTGTTGTTTGGACTCATTGTGTTTCATGAAGAGCCCGTGAGGCCGCTCTGATTGAGGGCTCTAGGTGAGGGGTGTCTGAAATAGCTCCCTGGAGGAGACACAATAACCCGAAGGTTAAAACCATTTCTTTTTCCACAGCAGTGTTTTCTTCTGTGGTCAAGTGAAGGAGAAGAAACACTTGTGGTGTCCAGTCCACCCACTGCTTTAACAGCCTGCCCAAGAAGTAAGCAATAGTCTGAAAGCCAAGATGTTTGCACTTCAGCATCACGTACAACCGGCTCTGAAACGCTAAATATAGCCGAAGATGACAAGACTAGAGAGTTATGTTAGCTTTTTCTTTTAGCTAACAGAGGCTGTCCAAAGAAAGAATGAAACACTACTTCAATATGTTTAGCTTGTTGACGAGAAGTGCAGGCCAGTCCACCGCCATATTTTTACAGTATGAGTCAAATAAAGAACGCTGAGGAGGGGGTGTGTTTAAGTGGGCTCTAATTGGTGATGTTGTTAAAAATGTTGATGTTATTTACACCTGTAACATATATCTTTAATCATGTCAGCTCAATTCATTTTAAAGGAATATTCTGAGATTTGGAAAACATTCTCCTTCGACCAGCATTATTTAGTTTAATTTAACACAAAGACTGGAGTGTGTGCAACCAGTACTATAAAGCTCAGTCATGAAAACAGAGGTGTTGATTGGATTATATTTCCTACAATTTCACTAGGCAAAAAAAACAAACATCTTTAACCACCCACCTGTTGTTCCTCACAGGATACTAACAATGTGAACTTTCACACATTGTTAGTGCGATAATTATGAACATAGTTGTTATGTTTTATTTACAATATTGCCTCTCTTTTTTAATCTTCTTAAGTTAATCTGCTTTCTTGCTTAGATAAAGAACTGAATCAACTCAGTTTAAGTGAGTTTGTCAGTTTAATGTGAGGAAGTATTGACTCTTTGTTCCTTTTTTAAGGTCAGCACCATAGCAAAATTAGTGTGAGCTTACAGTCTTAGCTTTACGATGTAGCTACATTTATACGTTTTACACAGTTTCCAGCTGATTACTTTCCTGTAGTTTTAATTCAACTCATGGTTATTTTTTATCTGTATTATCCAAGCAGATCAAGGACTTTACTCAACAGACATCCTGAACTGAAGTTATGTGTAAAATATGTTAAGCTAAGTAAGCGGCAGCTAAGCTAGCATCATTCCTCAGTCGTTCTTCAGTTATCAGTGAAACAGGCTAAACTAAGTTAGCAGCAGCCATGCTAGCCACCTTTCTCACTTTACAGAGCTGGTGCTACAGGCCATGATAGTAAAGTATTTAACCTCCCATTCTTTCTTATCCTGTATAGTTATGTGTGAATTGAAACACTTAAAAAACTAAAGTGCAAATATAGGCCGACAAACATGTAGCCTTCTTTAAGTGAAGGTAAGAAGATTAATATGACTCCTATCTGTGTCTTCAGAAGCTTTAGCCGGAAGATGGTTAGCTTAGCCTAATGTTCAAAATCTTGGACATTGTTGCCAAAAACAATTCACACAATCTTTTATTAAATAGTGAGACGCAATTTTCAGTTTTTCTTTGTAGGAAATATCATAAAGATCCCATATCTCCTAATTTCCGTAAAGGAACCAAATATTCCCCAAATGTCCTTTAACCAATAATGTTTCAGTTATGTCTCGCCGTCAGCAAAGACAAGCTAATAGCCAAGTATGTTCAGAAAATACATGAGCATGTACACATAGAGCACATGTTGGAAGAAATAGTAATTAAGTCTTCATCGAATACAAGGGCCAATTAAAGGTGTGGATAGAAACTGCAGAGAATTATTGTACTAATAGTCTGTGAACACCAATGTAAACGTAATGTTGTTGAAAGAAAAATATCCAGAGGGTTTCCCAGGGATATGATAATTGATGGTTTGCACAGAAAGACAGGTATATGAAATTACAGAATAATATTATCTCTGGCAGCTGGACTGTAAAGCGCTGTGGTTTCATATATGCTTTAGGCTATGGGCAGCAGCTTCACGTCTCCTTATAAGAGATCAGAGGAAAGAATCAAGAGCGAGGAAGATTACTGGATGTTATAGAGGAGGTAACATGGGCTAGGGGTTTCACACTCTTTGGTGTGTGAACATGGTGCGGTGTAGAATAGTAATTCAGTGTTTATATTTTTGTATAAAGCCTCGAGCTGCCTGGGAGATTTAACATCTGTGCCATTAGAATGAGCACACAGTACAGTAGGTCCGAGAGAGTTTGTTCTGATGAAGTCAGATAATTATTTTTCTCTGTTTTCACAACCTTTAAAATGTCTCTCAGGTTAAATTATGATTACCAAAGCTGGGAACTTAAGGACTTTACTTAATGCTCTCACTTGGAAAAAGAAGAAAACACAGTCACACCCTGTTGCTTGCACTCCCACGAGGATCAAAGACAGTCTATAACACAATTTAAATGTACATGCACATCTGATCTTATTAGCTTGTTAGCTGCATGCTGACCCGAATTCCCTTTCAACTCTTATATCTCAAATAACTGCTCAGCCCTTTGCACATCCACGGCCA